CTCAGGAAGACCAGGGGTGCCTGAGTGCAACAGAGTTCCCAGGCATTAGAGCAGGAAAGTCGGCTGTAATCAGCAAGCCCAGGAGTGGGCTCTCAGCTCCGGATTGCCATAAATCACAAACCAAGGCATTTGGGTGACTGCTCTGTGAGCAGGGGCCCAGCAAGCGTCAGAACCAGCAAGAACCCACTTCTTCCACAGGGAGGAGTGACACAGGAGCATGCCACAGGAGTCTGCAGGGTTTGGAGACTTGTAGGGGGTCATGTGTCTGAGATAGAAGTGCTCAGTCACAGGCTGGGTGAACACGGAGTGCTGATAGAGACCAGGGAGACGAGAGAAATTGACTGCTTTTCCAAGAGGGCTCACTGAGCAGTGGGTCCCTGAGCTTTGGACTCCAGGTCCACAGACCAAGAGCCTGCCATTTTCATTCTCATCCTCTAAAGCCTCATGGAAAGCCTTCAGGAACAAAAGCCACCTAGAGCAATCCAGCAAACCAGAGTTGAATACTTAACCTGGCCTCCTGGCACGGGTGGTGCAGTTCTGCCCAGGGCAAATACACTTGCAAATCAAAGTAGCAGGCCCCTCCTACAGAAGATCAGCAAGAACATCCAGCCAAGATCAAGTTTACTGATCAATAAGAATTGCAAAACTTCAGTTTTAGAGGGGAGATGTGTAGGGGTGAGGGTGACAGGGTGATGGGTATTAAGGAGGGCAGGTGCTGTGATGAGCACTGGGTGTTATATATAACTAATGAGTCACTGAACACTACATCAGAAACTAGTGATGTACTATACAGTGGCTAACTGAACATAATAAAAAAAATTGCAAAACTCCAGTGCTAGGGGGACTATACATATAGAATTCATGGTTTTTTTCCCCCATGATTCCTTAGTCTTTCAGTTTTAATTTTTTTCTCTTTCATTTTTCAACCAATTTGTTATTTTATAACTCTCTTTATAAATCTTTTTAGATTTTCATTTTTACAATTACATTGTATCCCCTCATTGTATTTAATTTTATGTGTGTGTGTGTGTGTGTGTGTGTGTGTGCATAATTTTGAGATATAGTTTCTTCTAACAAACCCACCACAATACACTCAGGATGTAGTGTATTGCTCTGTTCACCTGTTTATATCCCTTCCTTTTTTTGTTGTTGTTTTTTTTTCTCTTTTGTTTTTTCTTGTCTTTTAATTTTCATTTTTATGGTTACCTTCTATCCTTTCGTATTTAATTTTATTTTTGTACATACAGAAGTTTTTCTTTCTTTGAAATTTCGGGATCTAGTTTTTTAACAAAGAGACCAAATACACACAGGATCCAGTGTATTGCTCTATTCTGTCCCCCTGATTATATTCTCTCTTTTTTTTCCTTTTATTTTTAGGTGGTTTTTTTTGTTTGTTTTTTGGTTTTTTTTTTTTTTTTGTTTCAGGTCTCTTCTGATTTGTTTAGTGTATATTTCTTTGGGGTTGTTGTTGACATTTTATTATTTTATTCTCTTTTTCATCTATTCTTCTCTGGACAGAATGACAGGATGCAAAAATTCACCTCAAAAAAAGAATAAGAGGAAATACTGACTTCCAGGGACCTAATCAGTATGGGCATAAGTAAAATGTTGAAACTGGAGTTCAGAATAATGATTATAAAGATACTAGCTGGGCTTGAAAAAAAAGCATGGAAAACACTAGAGAATCCCTTTCTGGAGAAATAAAAGAACTAAAATCTAATAAAATCAAAACAAAAATGGCTATTAATGAGATGCAATAAAAATGGAGGCTCTAACTGCTGGAAAATGAGGTAGAAGAGAGAATTAGTGATAGGGAGGACAAAATGATGGAGAATAAAGAGGCTGAGAGAAAGAGATAAACAACTATGGGATCACAAGGGGGAGAATTCAGGAGATAAGTGATCCCATAAAGAGAAACAATGTCAGAATAATTGGGATCCCAGAAGAAAAGGAGAGAGAGAGGGACAAAAGAATAGTAATAAAAATTTTAAAATTAAAGTAAGAAGGAAGATAGATCCTATTTCCCATAGAACTGGAGCTTTGCAGCATCTGTGATGAGTAGACTGGTGTATGTGAGGTGTTTGTGCTGGTCTTCTGGGAAGGGACATGTGGCTCTGATTCTCAGGTGGACTTGCCCTCGTGGAGAAGCACCTCCCCACCTAGTGGATGGGGCTTGGTGTAAGTGGCTCTGGACTCCACTAGGTGGCAGAGTTTTGAAGGGCTGAAGGCTTTCAGCGCTAATAATGCTGGATGAAAATGGCTGTGCCCTGCTCGCTAGCTGCCCAACTGAGAGTTCGCGCCCCTCACTCTTCAGGAAGCCCTCACAGAAAAGCAGTCAATCAGTTTTGTGTCCCTGACTTAGTAAGATACCTGTCTTCATCCTGCCTGTATCCCAGCTATTTTATCTCAGGTGTGTGGTTGAGTTTTAAAACTCCAAATTTTAGGGACTCTCATGACACGTACCCATGCTGATCCTCTGAGGGAGGGTCTTGCACATTTTTGCTGTTTGCCAGCCCATGCCAGGCAAGCAGTTGCACAACTGGGCAGCGGTTGAGTTTATGGCAAGGCAGAGCAGAGAGCTGACACCTAGGCTTGCTGCCCTCAGCTGGAGTCCTTGCTCCTCTGCCTGGGAACAGTGCAGCATGTAGGTGCCACCCACTCTTCTTGTGACCCAGAGGATCCTCTGACCATGCTATCCATGCTTGGGCCTCCACACTCCTTCCCCACCTGAGTGCCTTTAAGTGATGCACGACCCTGGTGGTGGGACTTCTAAAATTTCATATTTTGTGCTCCACTGCTTATAATGTTTTCTGTAAGCAGGTGATCCATCTCTACAGGTGTTCTGTGGATGTCAATGGGGGAAGTCTTGCACTAGAACACACCAGGGCAGCAGGCAGAGAGCTGTCCCCAAGTTGTGGTGCTGACATCATACTTCCTCTCCTTAAAATGAATTGTGCTCCTTTGGTTATCCTGGGAGACCTCTGTCATTTTCCCCTATACACACATCCAGAAAGACTTCTGGGGGGTGCCTGGGTGGTTCAGTTGGTTAAGTATCTGCCTTCAGTTCAGGTCATGATCTGGGAGCACTGGGATGGAGCCCCATGTTGGGCTCCTGGCTCAGCAGGGAGTCTGCTGCTCCCCCTCCCTCTGCTGCTCTTGCCACTCATGCTTTCTCTTTCCCCCTCTCTCTCAAGTAAATAAAATCTTTAAAAAAAAAGAAAAAAAAAAAGAAAAATACTTCTGTCTGATGGCCCCACATTGTTGTACTTGTGGAAAAAGTGATAGTCCCCAACACTACCAACTTCTTTTTTCTCCTGTAATGTCACACTCCTCCACAGAACCACTGTTTTATTCATAATAACACATTATAAATTTTGTATAGGAGCCCTAATTATGCAGCCAACTCTTTTAAGACTTTAATCACTCCATCAGTTTTACTCAACCTTGTTTCTCTGTGTGGACTCCACCTGAGGTGAGTAAGAAGTACTGTAAGGAGAAGTAATTAAAATAAATAAAAACTCAGAAACATTGTGTTTTTTTTTTTAGCTACATTCTTACCAATGGATCAAGGAGAAGGAATTAAGGCAAACAGGGTCTCAGAAAAATGATGAACATCCATTACCCTGCCTACTCAATCATTTGATTATATTATTCAGACCAGAAAAACTACAGTAAAGATAAACAAATACGAATGTTGAAGCAGGTGGTAAAAGTATGTGAGTTCGAAAGGATTATACAAGTTATGAATATAGGCAAGATATGAAAAACTATGATACGAGTTAAATGTTAATTCCTACTATATGTCAGGCATTGTATTAAGTGCTTGTCATGGTTATGACCGCTGACTGCCCAACATGAATTAAGCCTAGATGGTCAGTCTAAGGCTTTCATATTAATCATTTCTCCCACACCAGTAATTTTATTAAAAAGGAGCATATGATCCTCTTCTTTGTGGTGAGATTTAAGGGGATATCTTCTCGATGATGCCATGGAAAGGTCAATTTTCAAATGGCTCAGGGAAAGACAGTCTGTTTTCTGTCCCTGGGCATCACAACTGAGTATGACACTGTGTCTGCTGCTACCATCAGTCCTGGAATGACATCACCTCACAGAGAACTAATGAATCCCTATTCTATTATCCATATACATTCCCTACCTCTGAATGAAAGATACTTCCCTTTCTTGTTTGAGAATATTAGAGAAAAGTTTTCTTTTCTTTTTCTTCTTCTTCTTTTTTTTAAAAGTAGGCTCCATGCCCAGTGTGGAGCCCAACACAGGGCTTGAACTCAGGACCCTGAGATCAAGACCTGAACTGAGAGCAAGAGTCAGATGCTTAATCACCTGAGACACCAGGCACCCCCCAAAGGTTTTCTTTTTATTATTAGAACCAAAGACTTTCAGCTTCAGGTTTACATATTTCACAACTGTCTCAAACCGCTGAGATAATCAGATTACACTGATTCTATGGATGATGAAACAGTTTGGTGGCTTCTGATGTTGCTCCAGAGAAATACAGTTTGATAGGGACAACTCTCAGTGATTACTGAGTGTGCGTAAGAAAGGCCAGCTCCCTTGCCTCATTGTTTAAGCCCATCTGGGGTGAGATTTGCATGGTCCTAGATGTGGGATAAAGTGGAAACTAGTCTGCCTGTAACCATGACTCTGCTTACACCATTTCTCTGCCCTGTCTAACTTCTTCCACTTTTTTGGTGAACATGCTGTCCCCCCAAATCTATATAACAGGATTCCAGGATTCAGGTTCTCCCTCTATAGAACACTACCCAAAAAACTGAGTTTAGATGCTTGAAATCACTGCCAAACATCACAGAGTTAGACAAAAATCAAAATCAGAATTCAAGCCCATGTTGAAATGCATGTATCCATCATGTTATCTAGTCATTTCAGATGATCTTGGTGATAGAAGAGTATTCTGAAAGACCAGAATACCTTTTACTTTCACTCATTCTATAAAATTAGCCCAAATATTATGAAACGTTATCCTACCGGATTATTTTTTTCAAGGCTTCCTTCATATTCCTGTTGCGCAGACTGTAGGTAAAGGGGTTCATCAATTGGGGAACCACAGTGTACATCACTGAGGCCACCGCAGTGTTTCTGGAAGAGTCCATAACTGCAGAGCTAATGTACACCCCTAATCCTGTCCCATAGAACAAGGAAACAACTAAGAGATGAGACCCACAGGTGGAAAAGGCTTTATATCTTCTGCCAGCTGATGGCATTCTCAAAAGAGAGTAGAGAATTTTAGCATACGAGAAAATGATCCCAAAGATAGAAATACCACTCAACACACTAGCCATAAAATTAGCCAAGATGGTATTGATGAAGGAATCAGAACAGGCGAGCTTGATGACCTGTGCGAGTTCACAGAAAAACTGGGGGATTTCCAAGTCAGTGCAGAAGGACAGTTGTAACACCATCAGACTGTGGAGGAGGGCATCCATGATGCTAATGTACAAAGAGAGTAGAATTGGGGCGCCTGGGTGGCTCAGTGGGTTGAGCCGCTGCCTTCGGCTCGGGTCGTGATCTTAGGGTCCTGGGATCGAGCCCCACATCGGGCTCTCTGCTCTCTAGGGGAGCCTGCTTCCTCCTCTCTCTCTGCCTGCCTCTCTGCCTGCTTGTGATCTCTCTGTCAAATAAATAAATAAAATCTTTAAAAAAAAAAGAGAGAGTAGAATTAGAATTAACCATCCACAGAGGTGGGGGTTCATGATAACGGTGTACCTCAGTGGATGACAAATGGCAACATAGCGGTGATAGGCCATTACTGCAAGGAGAAAATTCTCAAAACCAAGGAAAACCAAGACAAAACAGACCTGGGTGATGCAGCCTGTGTAAGTGATGCTCTGGTTCTGTGCTTGGATGTTCACCAGCATCTTTGGGATGGTGGTTGTGCTTAAGCAGATGTCAGTAAAGGACAGGTTGGAGAGGAAGAAGTACATGGGGGTGTGGAGGCGGGAGTCAGAGCTGACAGCCAGGATGACGAGCAGATTTCCCAGGATGGTGACCAGGTACATGGACAGGAACAGGCAGAAGAGGAGGGGCTGCAATTCTGGATCCTCTGTCACTCCCAGAAGAAGAAATTCTGATACACCTGTTTGGTTTCTGGGTTCCATGTTGTTAATATAAGACATTGGGTGACAAGAGAATAAAATGGATGGTCAACTGGACCTCCAGCAGCAGTACCTGGGAACTTGTTAAAAATGCCAATTTTTGGATCCCACTCCAGACTTACTGATGAAAAGCTCTAGGGATGATGACAGGCAGTCTGTTTTAACAAGCTTTCCAGATGATTCTGACATATGATAAAATCTCGGAACTTCTGTTCTCAAAAAATGTTTATCTATTTGGGAACCCAAGTGAATATTCAAATCTTTCCTCTGTGTATTTCTCCCTCCGTCCTTCTTCTCTCCCTCATCCTCTTTCCTCCGCTCAGTTTATCAGCCAAAATTTTAAAAAGATTTTATTTATTGATTTGAGAGTGTGAGAGAGAAAGTGACAGAGCGTGGACAGGGAGGGGGGCAGAGGGAGAGGGAGAAGCAGACTCCCCACTGAGCAGGGGGCCCCACAGAGGGCTCAGTTCCAGGACCCTGAGATCATGAACTGAGCCAAAGGCAGTTGCTTAACTGACTGAACCACCCAGATGCCCATCAGCCAAAATTCTAATGAGCAATGAGTGTCTAACATGTATCAAGTTTTGAGAGTGAAAAAAGAAAACATGGCTTTATTTCTTTAGAATTATTCCACACCTTCAAAAAATCAAACATGTAAGAATAAAATTATAGGGACACCTGGGTGGCTCCATTGGTTAAGAGTCTGCCTTCAGCTCAGGTCATGATCCCAGGGTCCTGGGATTGAGCCTTGTGTCATGCTCCTTGCTCAGTGGGGAGCCTGCTTCTCCCTCTCCCTCTGCCTGCTGCTCTCCTGATTGTGCTCTCTCTCTCTCACTTTCTGTTTCAAATAAATAAAATCTTTTAAACAAAAGAATAAAATTACAGAATTCGTCTGTAACAGATGACACAGGATCACAAACAACAACAAAAATCCCCAGGTGAATGGGGGAAAGGATAAAATGCAAAGGATCCTGAAAAGATGAATAAAAAATAATAACAATTGTCTTTGGGAGATAGAGACTCATAAGTTGACATTAGCACCAGGCATCCTAAGAGGCACGTCCCTGTGCAACAGTGGTTGTGTCTTTCCTGAGGGACACAAGTGGCCAACAGAGGATCAGTCACTTGTTACAATACTTAGATACTCTGAATTTAATCCAGGCTCCAGTACTTGCTTTGTGAAAAGGGAAACGTTTTTAACTTTATTGGAATCCCAGTGTTCTTATGTATATATTGGTAACTATCATAATACTTTATGGGATTGTTGCAACGAGGAAAGTGAATAGGCTTAAATCAGCACAGTGCTCAGCTTATGAGACCCTCATAGTGACACTTCTTATTGTGATTTTTTTTTTCTGCCATGAACAATAGAATCTGGCATGTTTCATTCCTAAGGTAGAACTGGTGGGTTGGTACAAGTTGAGGAAAGAAGAAAGTAAGAGAACATCCTTGGTGTGATAATTGCAAATTTCAGGGTTGGGTTTCTGTGCCAAAACTCCCTCTAGCAATCTTGGTCATGTGCAAGGGAAAGGAAGGAAATATCAATATATCAATATTTATTTGGTGTGAACATAAAGCAATTAAAATAAACTAAATATTAGAATAAAATAGATCTATGAATCAACATAAGCAATGAAAACCAACAAGAGATAAAATTTTTCATATAAAATACCATAAATATATACACACATTATATACATATATGCACACAGTATGAACATATGCTTGGGGGATAACATTATATTGGTGTTGCTTCTGTGAGTGGAACTATGAGGAACACAAAAAGAGTGCCTTCTGTATTTATATTATTTTGTTAATTAAAAAATAGGCATGAGATGATACACTAGAATGTCAACATTTGCTAGTTCTGGAAAGGGGTTAATGGTAACATATTATATTTATTATTACAATATATGCTGTTCTTATAATTTAAAACACGTGGTACTTTTATAAAGAGGAAAAAGTAGATGAAGAAGGTAGCCTGCTCTGTCTGTCTGGGTCTACACTTCCTTCTTGAAGTGCTTACACCCAAGCTATAAAGATAATACCAAAAGCTCTTCTGTACAATGTATGGGGGATTCAAATGAATCAAATGAAGCTAATTAATCTCTCTCCCTTCCATCATGAAAAGATGCAAGTAAATGTCAGAGAACTCTATAATTGTTACCATATTTATGAAGGGGAGGGTTCAAGAGCAAAATGGTTTCTGCCGTTAAATAGACAGAATAGAAAACTAACAAAATCAGAGCTGGGGCGCCTGGGTGGCTCAGTGGGTTAAAGCCTCTGCCTTCGGCTCGGGTCATGATCCCAGGGTCCTGGGATCAAGCCCCGCGTCGGGCTCTCTGCTCAGCAGGGAGCCTGCTTCCTCCTCTCTCTCTGCCTGCCTCGCTGCCTGCTTGTGATCTCTCTCTGTCAAATAAATAAATAAAATCTTTAAAAAAAAAAATCAGAGCTGCATCAGCATTGTTGTGGAGGTACAAAGTCACCTGTCAAGATGATGACATTCAGGCAGGAGTCCCATTGGGGAGTTAGTACTGATCGTGTTAGGCATGGATTTGCATCGTGTCTATGCAGGGAAGCAACTCCAGTAGACACCTTCCCTCATGTGCACAGTATTGTCTAAGGGACTTTGTTACCTGGCTGGCATCACTGCAGGATGATACTTGATATCTTCTCTGGATATTGAATGATGGAGACAGAAGCTCTATCTCTGAGAAGGGCAGAGGGGCTGAGAGAAGATACGTTTCTAGGCAGGTGGGATCGTTGCTGGGAGGTGGCCCAGATGTTTCTTCCTGACTGGGCAGGGCTGCTAAGTCAGGTGGTCATAGACAGACTCTTCACAGTTTCTGCATCCCTGAGGGTTTAATATCCAAAGCTCCTCATTAGACAAACACTTTTATTTGCACAGTGTAAATCCTTAAAGACCAAAACTATAGAAGAGAGAAATTCAAGATGGCTGATCCCTGACCCTGTGAGGCCACACGCATGCCACGCAGTTCTTTCCACCTGGTCACGCTCACCTCCATTTCACATACCTTGCATGTGAGGACACAACATCCTTTTCTAATTGGATTCCTGTCTTCAGGTTTTAGATATAAACAACAGCATCTCAATCTAATTATTGATATCAGGAAACCAGATTCTAACTTTAAATGTGAAGACACAATTTATGTATATGGGTATAAAATATCTATTTATAAATAAAGATAAGCTGTGTAAAAATGCAAGCAATCAGTGAAGATATTTTCTTTCTAAGAATCATTGATGTTTCCTGATCATTCATTTTCATTCCGTATAAATTCATACTGCGGATTTTAATCTATATTTTCTCTAAACAATTCTGACTGTGATCGGTATACGTAAGACACTAGAATTTCATAAACACCATTTCCAAGTTCATCACAAAGGGTTCAGTGTACATTTTTCTTCACATTAGTGGTTCATGGGTTGAAATTGACACTTTTAAAAAATAGATTTATGAGAAATTACAGTGCCATTGATAAGGCACTGGTATTCTGGTTCATCCATATGTTCAGAATGAGTGAGATTTCAGCAACAATTTAATAGGGAAAGATGGTGCTCCGTGTTAATACTTAACTACAAATATTCATTATTTAATATATTCACACACATCAATTTATTTTTGCCACATGTTAACTCTATCTGTATACCTTCACTTTTTAAAAAGATTTTATTTGTTTATTTGAGAGTGTGCATAAGTAGGGCAGGGGGCAGAGGGAGAGGAGAAGAAGATTCACCACTGAGCAGGGAGCCTGATGTGGGGCTCAATCCTGGGGATCATGACCTGAGCTGAAGGCAGATGCTTAACCAACTGAGCCACCCAGGTGCCCCTATGACTTCATTTTTTTAATTATTGGAGTTCTTGTGATAGTATTTGAAACCACAATGAGACAAGATGGCATTTGAATGTCACCCTTTCACTTCAAGACATTATATAATAGGTACATATAAAAATTCACAGCTGGTCTCATAAAACAAGACAAACCTTTCCATGTGCTACAAAAATAACTCACATAAAGGGTGAAGACACTGAAACCTAGAGGCTCTAGGGAGTCACCTCCAGAAGGAAGATGTTACTCTATCCGGGTAATGAACATCTTGGAAGCTAAATGTCCTAGAAAAAATTAGTGCTTGAAGTCAAAGACAAAAATGGAGATTCAGTATTTGAACAATGCAGTTGAACACAGAAGTGGTGGACATTGCCTGGACCCAACCATAAATACGGGTTTGGAACAACTGAAGGTCTCAGAAAAGCCCCAATATCTCAATCCAAGTTACCTGTTGGCTTAGAGACTGGGTTTGTGATATTCACAATATAGAAAAACAATCCTCAAGTTTATATAGAGTCCCAAAAGACCCCAAAGAGCCAAAGCAGCCCTCGGTAAGACGAACAAAGTTGGAGGCATTGCACTTCTTTACTTCAGACTATAATGCAAAGCTAAAGTAATCAAAACAGTATGGTTTTGGCATAAAAATAGACACAGGGACCAATGAAACACAATCCAAGATCCCAGAAATAAACCTTGGTATATGTTGTCAACTAATATTTAACAAAAGAGCTCCATACTCAGTGGGTAAGGACAGTCTCTTCAATAATTGGTTTCAGGATAAATGGATAAACACATGGAGTACAATGCAGTTGAGCCCCTGTCTTCTACCACTTATGAAAATTAACTCAAAATGGACTAAAGACTTAAACAAAAGACATGAAGCCATAAAACTCTTATAAGAAAACTTAGGGAAAAGCTCATGACATTGGTCTTGGCACAAGTTTTTTGGATATGATACCAAAACACAAAGGCCAAAATCAACAAATGGGACTACATCAAATTAAAAGCTTTACATAAAGAAGTAAACTGTCAACAAAATGAAAAGGCAACCTACTGAATGGGAGAAAATATTTGCAAATCATATATGTGATCAGGAGTTAAAATCTCAAACACATAAAGAACTCATACAACTCCATAGCAAAAAAGTAAATAACC